TGCCGTGGCATCACAGCTCACAGCAACCTCCAGCTCCTGGGCTCAAGTGAGTCTCCTGCCTCAGCCTCCCAAGTAGCTGGGACCACAGGCGCCACAACGCCCGGCTATTTTTTGGTTGCAGCCATCATTGTTGTTTGGTGGGTCCGGGCTGGATTCGAACCCGCCACCTTATGTGTACGTTGCTGGCGCCTTAGCCGGTTGAGCTATAGGCACCGAGCCTATTCGTTAAATTTTTATTGCACACATACTTTGTGCAAGGCTCTGAGTAGACAGCCCTGAACAAAATAGAAATCTTCAATATTAGCTAATGGAGATGATCTAATGGAAATAATGGTTAACACTTCCACAGCTTTACTATGTGACAGCCTTTCCTGCCCCTAGCCTTCCCCTTTTACAGACAGGGAAGGTGAAGCACAGAGCTTAAGTAACTTGGCCAAGATCCCTGGATATTAAGTGGAAGATGAGGATTTTCAACCACATGCAATCTGGCTCCAGATTAGTGCTTAGTGCAGATCCGGACTTAGTGCAACAAACCATTTTATCATAGGAAAATTCACCCAAACCAACAGTCTGCTAGAAAAAAAGGAAAAAAAGAAAGAAAGAAAGAAAGAAAGAAAGAAAGAAAGGACTTACTTAGAGGCACTGAGTTTGTGTGTCATCTCTCCAGTGACACCTCCAAGTTTACATACAGGGTCCTTCCACCCTTTGATTGCCTTTCCCTCCAAGGCCAGTCCCTCTTTATGAGCCCTGCCTCTCCTACCCCTACTTCCTTGAGAATTCACATCCATTTTTTTTTAATTAATTAAATTTTTTTTAGAGACAGTCTCACTATGTTGCCCTGGTAGAGTGCTGTGAGGTTGCAGCTCACAGCAACTTCCAACTCTTGTGCTTAAGCAATTCCCTTGCCTCAGCCTCCCAGGTAGCTGGGTCTATAGGTGCCCACCACAACAACCTGTTTTTTGGTTGTAGTTACAATTGTTGTTTGGCAGGCCTGGTCTGTGTTCGAACCCACTACCCACTGAGCTATGGGCACCGAGCCCTCACATCCATTTTTTTTTTTTTTTGCAGTTTTTGGCCAGGGCTGGGTTTGAACCTGCCACCTCCAGCATATGGGGCTGGCGCCCTACTCCTTTGAGCCACAGGCACCGCCTTTTTTTTTTGAGACAGATTCTCACTATGTCACCCTTGGTAGCGTACAGTGGCATCACAGCTCACAGCAACTTTAAACTCTTGGGCTTAGTGATTCTCTTGCCTCAGCCTCCCAAGTAGCAGGGACTATAGGAACCTACCAGAATGCCCGGCTATTTTTTGTTGCAGTTGTCATTGTTGTTTACCTGGTTCAGGCTGGGTTTGAACTCACAATCCTTGGTGTATATAGCTGGTGCTGTAACCACTATTCTATGGGCACAGAGTCGCATTTTTTTTCTTTTTTTTTTTTGAGACAGAGTCTCACTATGTCACCATTGGTAGAGTGCGGTAGTGTCACAGCTCACAGAAACCTTAAACTCTTGGGCTTAAGCAATTCTCTTGCTTCAGCCTCCCCATTAACTGGGACTACAGGTGCCTGGCACAACGCCCAGCTGTTTTTGGTTGTAGTTGTCATTGTTGTTTGGCAGGCCCAGGCTGGGTTCAAATCTACCAGCTCTGGTGTATGTGGCTGGCGCCCTAGCCGCTGAGCTACAGGCGCCAAGCCCTCACATCCATTTCTTTCTTTCTTTTTTGTTTTAGAGACAGAGTCTCACTTTGTCGCCCTCAGTAGAGTGCAGTGGCATCACCACTCACAGCAACCTCCAGCTCTTGGGCTTAAGTGATTGTCTTGCCTCAGCCTCCCAAGTAGCTGGGACAACATCCATTTTTTAAATCAGGCTTATTCTATCCTTTCATTTTCAGCATAGCAACACCCTTCAATCTGTCCTAGCTTAGAATCCAATCTTCCATCCTCATTTCCTCCATCCCTATCATTCCCTCTACCTTCTCTTTCTAAGTTTTGGAAAGTTAAGTTTTTTGGAAAGATCCTCCATTTTTTTGTTGTCATTGTTTTAGACCAGTGGTTCTCAACCTTCCTCATGCCATGCCCCTTTAATACAGTTCCTCATGTTGTGGTGACCCCCAACCATAAAATTATTTTCATTGCTACTTCATAACTGTAATTTTGCTACCTTTATGAATTGTAATGTAAATATCCGATATGCAGGATGTATTTAGGCAACCCCTGCGAAAGGGTCATTTGACCCCCAAAGGGGTCACGACCCACACGTTGAGACCACTGTTTTAGACAGAATCTCAATCATCCTGAGTAGAGTGCTGTGGCATCAAAGCTCACAGCAACTTCAAACTCCTGGGCTCAAGCTTTCCTCTTGCCTCAGTCTCCTGAATAGCTGGGGCTATAGGTGCCTACCACAACACTTGCCTAGTTTTCTATTTTTAGTAGAGTTGGGGTCTTATTCTTGCTTAGGCTGGTCTCCAACTCCTGAGCTCAGGCAATCTACCCACCTCAGCCACCCAAAGTGCTAGGATTACAAGGTGTGAGCCACCACACCCCACCCAGATCTTTCTTTTTTTCCATCCTCAAACCACTACTTCCCTGAAATAACTTTTGCTGAGATCTTCAAGGACACTTTTTATTTCCTTTTCTCTCTGAGACATTTGACAACCTTCTCATTGAAAGTCCCTCCTGTGGTTTCCACAGTATCTTTCTCCTCTAGTTTTCCTTTTTTTATGATAGCACTGTCTTCAGAGTTTTATCTTTCTTTGCTTCATCTTCCTCCACCATCCTTTAAATGCTGGTGCTCTTCCTTCTATGCCCGAATTCTTTCTTGGGTCCTTTTCTTTTTTCTTTGTTTTTCTTCTTTTTAAAAAACCCTTTGCCTAAGCTGTCTTCCCTTTCCTCACAGTTTAAGCCATTACTTCAAAGCCAATGGCTCGCAAATATTTATCTACAGCCAAAATATTTATGCTGAGCTCCAATAAAGGGTATCCAAATGTTCACTAAATATTTTTGCCCAGATGTCTGACAGACATTTCAATCTGAACATGTCTTTTTTTTTTTTTTTTTTTTTTTGAGATAGAGTCTCAAGGTGTTGCCCTAGGTAGGTAGAGTGCTCTGATGTCATAGCTCACAGCAACCTCCAACTCAGGCTCAAGAGATCCTCTTGCCCCAGTTTTTCTATTTTTAGTAGAGATGGGGGTCTCGATTTTGCTCAGGCTGGTGAGCTTGTGAGCTCAAGCAATCCACCTGCCTTGGCCTCCCAGAGTGCTAGGATTACAGGTGTGCGCCACCGTGCTTGGCCTCAATATGTCTTAAACATTATCTTCCTGCCCCAAATTGCTCCTCCTCCAATTGCTCCTACTGTGTTTTCCCTGAAAATAAGACCTAGCCCCAAAATAAGCCCTAGCAGGATTTCTATGCATTTGTTAAATATAAACCCTACCCCGATAATAAGACCTAGTGATGGGCATGGCTATGCAGCATATCTGCATAGCCACGTGATGCATTTCTGCGTGGAGTGGTAAGGAAGACTGGAATACCTTTTATCTGCCACAGCTCCTTTCTCTGAGCCTGTAGCACTTGTGCAGGTGCACGTGTGGTAACCTTAGTTGCAGGCATCCTATTGTGCACGTGCAAACAACTAGGGGAAAGGAGTTCACGCATCACTAGCACCAGCCCCACCAACAAGGTCAGCTCCCCTGTCAGATTCCAGAAGATGACTTAACTATATTTGAATAAATGTAGATTGTTGTATTATACTTAATAAAAATAAAGACATCCTGGGCGGTGCCTGTGGCTCAAAGGAATATGGTGCGGGCCCCATATGCTGGGGGTGGTGGGTTCAAACCTAGCTGCGGGCCAAAAACTGTAAAAAAAGAAAAAAGACATCCCTTGAAAATTAGCCCTGGTGTGTCTTCTTTTTTTGGCTGGGGCTGGGTTTGAACCTGCCATCTCTGGCATATGGGGCCAGCGCCCTTCTCCTTTGAGCCACAGGCGCTGCCCCTTAAGTGTGTCTTCTTGAGAA